AATGATGGAAAAAATAAATTATACTGTGCGAAGAGAATGGGGTCACATCATTGAAATACACCTTTGTATTTCATCACAAGCATGCTCAGCTGGAAGTGCTGAAAACGTCACAGTTCACAAACAGACTTCTCAACTCAAAAAAAGAAAAAGTATTTGTATTAATAAACTAGCTAACTCACTAAATGGCATTCCAAGTAAACAGTCTATTTTCACATAAACTGAAATTCATTAACTTATAATATACCACAATAAAGCATCTTAAAAGGACACTAGCAAAGCTTGCCTCCAAATTTTGTATTTTTCTGCTGTGCATCTGTTAATACGTGTTCCCTCATTTATACACCTTTTAAGCTCCCATCAAAGCAAATGCTTGGTGACCCTAAAAATCATGCAGAGATACTAACAACACAAAACCTTACTTCAGTCTTTCAACATTAGATTATCAACAACAGTATTTTAATTAAAAATATTTAAGTCCTTTAAAATACTGATTCTCCTTTCCTAACAATAATTTTCTGTCCTTTTTCTGATACTAGCTCGGTTACCAAAGGAAACAGGAGCTGATGAGATTATGCAATCTGTCTGTATGTCCTTCCCTAACAAATTTCAAATGCCTGGGGAAACGCACCATGATGGAGAAAAGACTAGGAACACTAGACACTTCCCACAGAATTACTTACTCTAGTTTACCAAATAGAAGGGAGACATCCCTGTCCACCCCCCCCAGACTAGAGTTTCCACGGAGGGAAAGACGGTGATTTGAGCTGAGCTTTAAACCAGTCAGCAAGCGTTGGTGTCGGGACTGGTTCACCCCCATAGCCGGCGCAGAAGCAGGCAGCCTGCTGCCCAGCCAGCAGCTGCAGCGCAGCCGGGAGCTGGAAATACCCTGCTGGGACACTGCGTGTGGGGGTCTGAGGCAGGGGGAGGAGGAAGAGCTGGGATTTCAGCGGTGGAAGGACACGCAACACAAATCCACAGCAAGGGAGGCTTCAGCGGGGGATTCTGCCCATGGACAAACTCTGTTTTCCAAGTGACGGGATGCTCACACAACGGACAGAGAGAAACCACAACCTCCAGGACTACAGCAACAATTTAAGAATCAGACACCCGTATGTATATTTTCTTCCCTGTAAATTCAAGCAGCTGGCAGAAGGGGTGGTGATCAACCACTAGGTCTGCCCATATAGTTTTAAAGTATCACTGGAAACACAATGAAAAGATCAGACTGGTTAGCAGTTTTCTGATCTTTTTACTACTTTGCATGGCAACAACACAAAAGCAAGTAACAAGGGTCGTTTCTACAGGCCTTGTTGCACTGCAGATAACCGTACAAAAACAGTACGACTCAAATAGCAGTGGCCTAAAACCAGATGTTGATATTTTCCTATTTCCCTCCTGCCCTTTCCCTTAAAACCTGATAGACGAAAGTACTTAAACATGCATTTAAGATTATAGTTATATTGCAGATTTTGCCAGGCCTGAACCCAGGGCTTCAATCACGGGACTTCATCATCTGCTGTTGTTGTGTCTTAAGTAAAGCGAAGGTAGGCACAGCTGAAGGGTAAGGAACAGCTTCTTGCAGCTGACAGACTTCATGCTGAAAGCCACTGCCTCCACACTGAGATGGGTGCCTCCGCAAGTGCTGCGCCTGCAGCGAAGTCAGATACCCCAGCTTTAACCATTATGGCCACTTGCCCCCACTCCCTTCCCAGTACTAACAAATAAATTTGTTAGCACTCCCCAATTTGCTTAGGGAACGATTGGGGGTATTATCAGAAACCAGAAGGAGATATATGTACCTCAGCCCCCATTCCCACAGGGTTTCTTTCTTCCTTCATCCCTACTACATGCAGAAGGAAACCCTGGCTTCGCTAAAAGATCTGGATCTCCTTTGCCATGAGGCTACCTGAGTGCTTCAAGCTGCAAGCCTGAAGACATACCCAAATTCCTACCTTTAAATTAATGCTCATGTGTTTTTTGTTTGGTGAAAGACCTTAGACAGACCATCCAACAACTTAAGAATATTTCTGCAACCCAAATAAAAATATGCTAAATCAATTCTTAAATGAGTAACAGAGAAATTTCAAAAAGCTTCCTGATTCAAGCTAAAAATAAAACAAATATTTTATTTAGAAGTATATGGGCTTTGGAAGTCTTCAGAGTTTGCCAAACTATTCAATTTCTCATACTCAGGCACAGGGATAAAAACTCATCAGGGCTGAGATGATCACAGGAAGAACCTGGCACAAGCTGCTCTCTTTCATATGCCCTCATGGTTTTTCTGCCAAAAATAAATACATCTGATCACAAATGCTAAGTACTATACATTTTTCATTTAAAGGCAACGACCTTCTCTGCTCCAGCGTGCCATACAACATTTTATTATCACTGTGTGGTACCAAATTAGTTTAACTAGTTAGCAGTATCAGAGAGCTAATAATTCCATTTGACCATTTGGATCCATTTGACCTGACAGAGCTACTGTTTGTTGCATGAATTACTCTAAGTCTACAGATATATAATTCTGTCTCTAATCACACCAGTAAAGTGATAACCTCGTAAGTACAGAGATGTACTTGATCTCTAGTAAAAATGGTAAAATTAGTGGCACAGGAGCATAGTGTGCACATGTACAAAACTATCCCCCAGCAACTACTTGGAATACACATGACTTTTTGGTTTCCATTACTCTGAATGTGAACTTCAGTTCTTTTCATTGCTAACAGAAACACACTCCTGAAATGCAGCCAGAAAATTACAGTTTCATGGTGCATAAACCTCAGGCAAGAATACTGTGAAAAATTTTTACTATGCAAATAATTATATCAACTATCAATTTCATCAAGTGACCCTACTGCTGAAGACTATACTAATAATAATATCAGCAACAGAAGCAAGCACAGAATAAATTTATTTGAAAATCAAATTTGTTTGATGCACATTCCTCCTGAGTTATTTTAGAATACCAAAACCTCAAAAATATTCACATAAGCATTCTAATAAACTTACTCAGTGAAAGTTCATTAACCTTATTATTATGTTTGAAGTTTATATTTCAGGGCACAGTCTTACACTCTGCGTACTTCAGAACTGGTAAGACTGTGTGTGCAAAAGGAACAACTGGATATTTTAACCAACCAGACAAATGGCTTTGTAATAGGAACAAAACTATTTTTTAATTAAACAGAAAAGCATACTGTCAGAAGTCATTTTCATGAGTTATTTTTCGACAAAGAACACACTGTGTGCCAATACTGCACAAAAGCAATTCCTATTATCCTTGAAGTTAACTGTTCAACTGAGGAAATGCAATTGACTTTTTACTGGCAAATTTAGTTTCTCAAAGCAACAGTGGACAGAGTACACAATGAATGGCCACAATTTCTCCAGTTATAATACTCCAATAAGCCATACCCACCTCCATGAGCATAAATGCAAAATACCTGCATTTATATATTTATATGCATTTATATAATTTTTATACATATATATATTTATACCTGCAAAATACCTCCTTTTATTTTAATAGCTTAGAATAAGATCTTCACTGAAAGACATTTGCCATATTGATTTGGAAAGTCTCAAAGCTCATACTTAAAAATTAAGAGTATCTATATTTTCTTAACTAAATATGATGTTGAACAATGTAGAATTCAGAGTTCTATTTCTAATGCAAAATAATTATGAGCAAGAGTAATGTAACAGTTTTTTCTTTCTCACCCACTCCTAGCACACTGCAATCCAATTGATTTTAGTGGTTTTCTTTAAACTCCAGAAAGGTCCTCAACTTGTATTTTTAGATTTTATCCTCAAAGTGCTTCTCTACAAAGTCCTTACATAACCAACCAGTGGTTGAGCTCATAAAGTAACCTGATTAATATACTTACTCTGATCATTTATTTTAGAGTTTCTTGAAACGTCATGATACTGCCAGAGAAAAATCACACTTGTATCAAGTAACTTCAGAGTACCATATTTTGTATCATCATATACAGGCTTATTTCAATTCCGGTATTTGTCAGAGAAGTACCACACCAACAACCACACATTTTTAAAATTCCAGTTCAACAACAACTGAAAAAACAGGTTGTATCATTGACATTGTAGCATAAACATATTCTGCTCATTCGTATGTCTTCCATTTTCCTTTTATTTGAACAAAGCAAAAAAAGGAGATAAATCTATCTTTTAAAATTACGCAGCTCAACTGGCAGATTAACAATGTAAAACAGTTGGGGAAAAAAAGACTTTATCAAAATAGAGGGGGTTTATAGCAACAAGTAAATTCTTACACAAGTACTGAGATAAAAGCAGCTTCTGTATATAAAACAATTTAAGTCAAATTGAGTTTCACTACCGAGTAAGATAAATTCATTTTCTAAAATCATCCCCAAAGTGTTGATCATTACAGGAACAGGACTGGGTTTAGGGAAAACTGTTCCAGTTGAATTCCCAGTACTCGCTTTCTCCACAAGCTGTTTTGGCTCAGTGTTTTAATTCTATTTTAATTTTCTTAGATATCTCTTTAAAAGTAAGTTTGAAAAAGATTTCTGCTTAAACACAAACAATCAGAAATAAGATTTTTGCTATGAGTCCCTTCCAATCACTTCATTCTCCTATTTCCATTACACAACTTTTCAATAAAAGGCAGAAATAAAAAGACAAATCAGGATAAACTTCCATTACATTTTCTCACATTATCTTGAGTCATACACCTACTTTTCTCTTGAAGGCCCAGGAAGAAAAAAGTAAAGGAAAAGATTTGGACATTTACATAATAAAAGAAAAATCTTTGCTGAGTTTAGGTTCGTTTGCAAAATTTATTTTTGGTCCACTGACAACAAGATTAAGTACACCTAGTTCAGAATAACAATTCATTTATATTAACACAAAAAGTTGCAAAGAAAAACATGACTAACTTCGGAGAGCAGCAGACCTATGACTATCAGTTGAAACCGCCTTGCAGAAGCCAGATTATTCCATGTCACATAAAGACATACCTTTTTATCATATACATCTTGCCAGTTTACTCCAGCAAAGAAACTATGACGCATGATTTCTTTTGCATCATCTGGGCCTCCACCAAGTCTAAAGAGAGTGGAAAAAAAATCATATTAAACAAGCGTTACTCTTAAAGGGAGATTAAGTTACTGTAACTGGGAACAATTCTCACCCATTTAATATGTAATTCTCACCTGTTTAATATGAATTCAGGTGACGTCAAGAGAAAATGTGATAGAAGTACCCATGTCATGGTCTATTCTATTTGATTATTCCAGCTACAGCACTCATTACTGTCCACGATGAGCTTTATTAATAATTCATGTATTTTAAAAACACACTTAAGTTTAGTTTTCCTGAAAAGACCAACTAACGTTGGCACTATTAGAAACCAAAACCAACCCAACAATGCTGACATAAAATTTTGCCAAGGAGGTGTCAGGCACTGAATCAGTAATGACTCACACATCATTTTTATACAGTGTTCACTGCTGTTGCATCTGGGTGCTGTAACAATTAACCAATTACCATAAAATAGTCTCAATCTGAGTCAATTAGTATAAATTAATAAATTGTAGGCCTGCTGAGAAGGTTATTTAAAGGCCATTGTAAATAACCACACTATTCACTGTAGCCCATAGCTTGCCAAAGCCACACTCTGTCTGGTAAATCATCTTAGGAAGTGAATTCCACCTACTTTGGGCGAACATGCCCAAGGTGATCTGAGCTCACAGAAGTGGTCACTGCTGCCAAAACAGGAGGGTCCCACCCCTGTCCATACCTCTCCCCTCTCACTTGCATCTACCACATCATTCCCACTGATGACTGTGAGCTGAGTCAGCTCACTAACCTGGAAGAAAACTAACCCTGCAATGAGAAAATGAGAAAGAACTGGCCGTTTCTTGTTGCATTAGCAAGTCAAATTTGACTCAACAAGTTTAGTGAGCTCCCTTGAGCTGCTGCTGTTGGTGGAGAAAGAACCACACATCCAGTGAAGAGAACCTCTGCCCCTTTCAACAGCATGTGGAATTTCAGGACTGCTCAGCCCTCATCTAACTTCTTCCTGAGACTGGCTATCCTACTGGTCTAACAGAAAAAAGCTGCAACAGAAAAAAAGCTAATCTTAAGCGAACAAGCAGCCCATACATGTCAAATACTGACAAGAAGAATGACACAAGAAGTTTGTGTTTCATTAAAAGGAACTGCTAAAGATATAAAGACAAATTTTAAAAGCAACCTTTTAAGTAAAATAAATTCCTCTCTAAAGCATTTATTGCAAAGAGCAGTAATTCCCACAACCAAGGAAAAAAAAACCTGTATTGGTATTACCCTGCTGCCAAATTACAAAAATATTTTGGACTACTACCTCAGTCTTGCAGTAACTGGGTGTAAAAGTATTCTCACTTCCAAGCTGTATTCCTTTTTGTTTCTCAACTATTCACTGTAAAATCCTGTCTCTGCAAAGCATCCCAGTTAGCCTGCAGTCTCCAGACTTCTCTCAGTATCTTCCCATCCAGCTGCTCAGAGAAAAGCTGAGTTGCAGTTAACCTCTGTGCTCCCACCCTATTTAGCATTAGCTAGCACCAGAACTTGAATATGAATAAGCTTGTAAATGTAAGTCTGTAATAAACACTACTGTCTGCAAAAATTAATTATGAGGAAGTATCTTTTCAATTCTAAAGGTTAACATATTTGATGGATCAGATCGTTTGGAGGTTAAAATGCATTAGGAGTTGCTACAGGAACAAATTTTTTCTTTACTCTCCATGTATTTGGCTGGTTGGTCACAGTTTGCTTTTACTACATACAGTAAATTCAGTTAAACAGGCATTGCTGGGCAGCAGCAGAAAGGCTGACCACTTATGTTGTCCTGGCTGTTGCACTCAGCTGTGTGCAGGCAAATCCCCCCAGAGAGACATGGCAACCAGCCCTGCCCTGAGTGCCAGTGAGCAATGCCCACTACTGAAAACTTCTTGAGAACAGAGGACTAGAGAAGAGAGACAGACACAATGCCTGCAGCCTTAAAACATGCCAAAAGACTCACAAGAACAACAGAGAGACTGGGGAAAAGAGGGGACCTACAGACAAATCTCACTGATTTACAGAGATTCGTTTTAGAACCACAGGGGACTGGACACTGCTGGCCCAGTGCAGGAGCCACTGCAAAATGGCTCTCCTAGGCAACACTCCCAGAGGGGAAAGCCCACCACAAAAGGGCACAGGCAGCAGCTGGGTGATACTTGCTTTCAAACCACTGTACTTAAATTTCGCTCAGAACATGCATTCTTTAACAAGTTACTAGTTTACATGGTCTAATATGTGATTTATTTACGTGCTCTAATAAAATTTAGCTGTGGCTGTCTATATATGTCTTCAGGCATGATCACTTCCAATAAAAAGTGCTGTAGTCCCCATGAGACACTACAGCCAACTCAGGGTTGAGACATACTCTGAAAAACAACTCAGAGCTTTCCCTCTGTACCAGTACACAATCTAAACCTGAAAAGATCCCCGTGTTTGCTGTGAATGATTAAAAAAGTATTCTCTTCCACGTGCTTCTTCCCTTTCTGCTTGTTAAACTCACTTTGTATATCGTTGCTGCATTGAAAAAGTGGAAATCTGAGACTGCCTGGCTGCATATGGCCCTTCCCGGTGACTGACAGGTCCTTCAGCCAGGAAGACCAGGCACCACTGGCCTATTTTCACATTACCCAGTATAATAATTTATTATGCCTGTATACCCAAGTAATTTCACTTACCGCTTATTTGGATCCTTTATCAGTAGGCCTGATAGTAATGATTTTGCATCTGCAGAGAGAGTTCGAGGAAATTTTATGTCCTCCATTAGTATCAGTTCAAATAGTTTCTCATGATCTTGGTTGTAGAACGGTAATCTTCCACACATCATTTCATACATGACAACTCCTAATCCCCACCAGTCCACTGCACGACCATAGTCGTTATCTTCCAACACCTAAGACAGAAACCAAAACCAGCTGTAAGACATGGACTATTTCAGAACAATCATTTCAGCCTATTTGATGCACCTCTATACGAACGTGTTTCCAAGACTTGATTTTCACAGTGTGCTACAAGGACTCCCAGAACCCGGCTCAACACATGCAGTTGGAGTACTGACTCACACACCTGAACTCACTGAAATTCCAGGCATACTGGGGACCTTACTGCTAAAAGCAAAATAAAATATTGAGAATGACCTGCTCAAAATGATCATGACTACATTTTCCCCTTTCCTATGTCCCCTACCATCCCATTTATAGTGTACACAGCTCTAGAAAGAGACACTATCTACAGGCACTACTGCCTCATTAGCATTCTTCTGGGAGAAGTGAAGCATCTCCTTGCTCAGTCGCTTCCTCTCTCCTTACCCCACCTGTAAGAATAAAGCCTCAAATTTAGAAACACCTTAATCTTACTAAGACAAGCTTAGCTTCTTTATGATCTTTGTTTATATTAAAAGTCCTCAATGCATTTCTCCTGACAGTTTCATTACGTTCCATTAAATAGTCCAAACAGCTGAACTGTGCTAATGCAAAGAAATATTACTATGTTTACTATGATACTATGTTTATATGATATGATCACAGAAATATGGTAAGGTTTATATAATTTCTTAACATAATGCCTCCAGTGTTATGTACCTAAAAACAACCTACTCCACTGCTCTTCTCCCAGCAGCCCCAGAGCATTGGAATAAGGAATCTAAGCAGTGTGTCTTGACCTTAATACACCTTCATATTAAACTGTAGAAATGGAGACAACATAACAGCAGCAGACACCCATAATGAAACCATAAGCAATAAGGAAACTGAAGGCTACTGAATATATACATACATAATTCCAATTTCTGTGAATTTCTAGACAATCATACCCTTTCATTCAAAAAAGATGCAACAGTTAGAAGTTAAAAACTGGTAATACAGAAGGCACTACAACTGTATGTGCCAAATTGCCAGTATTTGCTGCACGAAGATCTATTAAAGAGGCAAAAACCTTACACCAAGAAATTAAACTTAAATATTAAACAGAAAGATCAAAGAAATACAACTAATAGAGCTGGACTACATTTATAAAGTTTTAAATAATTCTTTATAAAGAACTGTTTCTGTATCATTAAAAGGCAGATTCTGAAAGGCAACACATATGACTGATTAAAAAAAAAGCCAACAAACTAATTCACAGAAAACAAAACACTTTTTACAACACACAGACACATGCAGTCACCACCACAAAGAGCTCACCTAGATTCAAACTGTAAGTAGACACACTGGAACAGTCATTTAGATATATAGTAGTGAAAATCTGGTGATGTGTAGTAAAGACTTCAGGCTTTAATGAATAAGGCAACCTCTAACAGATCAGAAATAACCTTCTTCCATGAGTATGTTATCTTGTGATTGTCTAAAAAGTGTAAGATGACTTCCAATAATTTCCTCTGAAGCAAGGGCAGACACAGTCCTCACCTGTCTGGGTAGACTAAGGGGCCGTGACCACATCATAGGACACATGCACTACTTTAGCCAGCCCTAATGAGGTGTCGAGCTCGTTAATCTGCCTCTCCTTTTTCTCCCCCAGTAAATCCAAGCCTGCTCTTAAGTATCTGGTAGATGCTATCAGCAGAAGCAAAATGCAATCTGATCCAGTATGGCAATTTTGAGAATCTCACAGTAATTAATGCACTCATATTCCTAGTTTTCACTGTCCTCAAGGATTAGTAGTAGAAAAATGATGCAAAGAAGTGTATTACAAATCCCTCTTGTGTATATAAGATTAAAAAATCATAAATGTTAACACATTAACACACACTATTTACAACTGTGCCAAAACACAGAGACTTATTACATCACTGATATTTCCAAATAGAGGGTGAAATTTTGGGAAGTGTAAAATACAACAAATTATCTTAGTAAGTACATATGACAAAACTAACTCCTGCATTTTGAAATTAATTAAATGTTTTATGAGTTTGAGCATATTGCAAGCTATTTGCTGAAAAACTGTCTATGAAACCTGTGACGCTTGTCTTTAAGTCACCGTTCCTTCTGCCACAGAATAAAAGCATTAAATATTTTTCTACTGTATCTATTAGCACTGTTACTATTTCTCCTATCTGTATAGTTAGCTGCTCTTTTTCTTTTGAAGCTAGTAAGATATATAAAATTGAGAGGCAGTGGTAGATCCTTCTTACAAGTAAGTTGAGGTGTGGTTTGCATGTGTGATTTATAAAAGGCAACAGGAAGATAAAACATATCATTCTCTGAACAAGGCAAATCACATAGCCAATAGCTAAAGCAAACTGTATCTGGGGCTTTACCTAATTTATGCAGGACTTTACCTAATAATAATAAAAAGTATGAGCAACCTTTTGCTGCATTCCCACAACAGCAACAAAACAGTGGTACAAAGAAAGAGCCAAATGTGATTTTTAACCTCTTTTTACATAAAATCATAAAAAAGCATAAAAGCTGGATTAACTGCCTCCCGAACCCGCATATCACCAGCCGGGTTCTCATCCCCAGCTGGCAAAGCTGGCAACTCTTTATTTTTGTTTAAATACCTGGTTTACAGCCAGGCAGACAAGCAAGAGCATCAAAAGGGTTTCATTTAGGCAAAAGGAAAACAGCCTGAAAATAGCGTAAATAAAGCAAAATGCATCTCAACTTATTTTAATATAAATGTAATAAAATTGTGCATAATCCATTCACAGTAAATACACACAATTATTTTCTTTAAGTCATTTCTGCTCCTCATGGTGTTAAGAAACTCCAGGATTTGTAGACTGTAACAAATCAATGGAAACGCTGGAGTCCAGCAGCTCCTGTGACCAAATCCATACAATTAGGGCAGGCAGGAGAACACGTCTATACACACTGCCCTAGCATTACGGAATCCTTTCCAAACAATTCTTGGATTTGAGGGATTTGTTTTTAATTACACTGAACATAGGTCAAGAAAACCTCAACTCAGTGCTAAAATGAACATGACACACAGCTGCAGGCTTTGCACCTATGAATAACTCAATCTTTTGCCTACCATGAGGTGGATACCTTCTTTTAGAAATGCCTCCTTTGGCTGTGAGGACTGATACTGCTGTCCCTCCAGTATTTGTGGGGTATCCTTGTATATGTGGGGTATCAGCCTAAGCACCTGGCCACGTACAGACACAGTGGAAAGCTTGATCTCTTGGGCTTTGTACGCTGCCCCTAAAAGCTGCCTCCATCATCTCCAGCCAATTCTTGTCCCCCCCTATAAGGGCCCACAAATTTGTCTTTAAGCGAATACACTGTCCTAACAACCCAGTCCCTTCAAGGTCACAGCAGGAAAGGCAGCAGGCCCACCAAAACCATCATAAAGGGCACAAGCTCAACCACTATGGTATCTGCTGCAAAGTAATACATTAATGTTTTCTAGGGGTATCACACAAAAGGATGACATGGAACTCATAAGCTACAGAAAGAGCAGCTACACTGAGTACAGACTCCAGTCAGGTGCATTTTCATGAAGCAAAGATGAAGTCACATGCTTTCTTCCACAAAATTTGTTTAAATAGTGAGATCATTCAGATATATGACTTCCCTTCCTTCATCTGCTTCGCACACATGGGGTGCCAAAATCCCAAGCCACCTCGTCAAGATCTAGGTGAGGTTTTAGGAGATGAGAGCTCTAGCATGACGTGACTTCAGTGCGTGGATAACATTTATAGTCACTCATCCCTATTTTACACCTCACATCATCACTGTACCCAAGTGAATTCCCAGTGTTGAGTAAATCAGGAGGTGGGCTGGCTGCAGTTCAGTCTGGATGAAACCATAGATTATGAGAAATAAAACTCAAAAAATGACCATCATTTTTATTACTTGAGGGAATTTTACTCCATTTGTTTTTAGGGCTCCAGTTCAACAACTGGTTCTTTCACAGGCAGTGCCAGCCTAACTCACACTTCTTGTTTCTGTTACCTCACCACAGCTTCCCCTACCTTGCCAAAACTATACAACACACTACATCGGAGAGTAGACCAGTATTAAGAAAAAAAGGAAAAAAAAGCTTCACCCTGGGTTATTTCTCATCTGAATCAAGTTTTCTGACCTAAGCCACTCAATTGCCACATGAACAGTTGCAGTAGCACAAGTGAGAACACCAGGGCAGGCAGCATCGGACACAGCATTGCTGCAGAAAGAAATGTTTGTCAAACTCTGCCCCGAAGTTACACCACAGAAGCCACGCTGACCCTGCCAGTTCCTCCTGCATACAGACAGCTGCAACAGCTGTGCTCACTTAATGGGAAGATTAAGGGCCTGATTCTCTTCCCAACCTGTATTTCTCTAAAGAAATCTAGCAGTACAACAGGGTTCCAAAGTGAGCATAAACTCACTGCTGCACTGAAACCACTGCAGTTTTTACAGGCATTGATGCTCCTCTAAAACTTACACTAACACCTACAGTACAAGGACACAGCCTGGGCTTATATGGATGCTTTTAAAAAAGCTGTAGAGGTGCTACTGAAGTTTGTATTTTTCCAGTCTTAGATAAATATGCAAGAGGTTAAGTAACATACACACTTTCTAACAAGCAAGAAACATTAGCCAGGCATATGCAGGTACTTTAGTAGTAGTGCTTTTATGGATGTTTTAGAGGCACTGGACAATACAATAGTTTCAGCTAAGGGGAAGCTATTTATTTACCTTAAAACTTTCATTTGTATTGTGGTCAAAAGGCAACTCAACTCTTTTTCAAATCTACTGAGATAGCAGGGATAGCCAACTGTAAAAAGGGGAAACAATGTGTTCTCTAGTGACTCCGCTATCTCTGCACACTTTGGGGTTTCTGGAAAGTATTATCAACAATGACCAAGTATATGATGGGATAGTGCTTCATCCCAGAGCACAGACCACCAAGCCCTACATACGAAATAAAAAATCCAGTTCACAGCCTACACTTTGCCTTTAGGATGAC